CGGATGACTGTACGAACTCCAAGGGGCCCTACTAGAGCCCTCACTGCTCATGACGGGGTCTTCAAGGAACGCCGCCAGCACCAGCGCGGAAGAGTTATATCCGCGAGTCGGTGCGCTGCCGGTGCCTCCCAACTGGTGGTGATGGTGTGGGAGGTGGTGGTGGTGGTGGTGGTGGTGCTGATGATGATGTTGATGGTGCTTGTGGTGATGTTGATTGTGGTGGTGGTGGCTGTGGTGGTCATGCTGATTGTGGTGATGCAGGGCACCACCACCGCCCGGGTCATCCAACAGTCGTACTTCGCCCTCCTGCAGGATTGGACGGGGGAGAGACAGACGAGCAAGGCGCCAGCTAAATGCGGGTGCGACTACAATATTTGCTCCAGGAGAGGGCCTGACACATGCGCCTGGGAACGCAACCGAGGGCACTGTTTTCCCGTACTATTGCAAGTAATGTTTTGAAGGGCATCACACTGTGCGGGACAAAGCCCCGGTATGGAGGCCACCGTGGACACCGTTCAAACACTACTGAAAATGCACGAATGGAAAAGAACGAAAAAGCCCGCGGCGTAGAAGCCCGTCAAAACATGTGGGGTAAACATGTGGATTCTGACATACTGGTTTGGACACAACACTCCCCTCACCTCCACCAGCAGCAGCGCCTCCACCTGTTCCCCCTGCCGAGCCACCACTGCACCCCCTGCCAGCCACAGAGGGCGGGCCGCGAGCGCCAGACTCGTCAGCTCCTTCGCGCTCAGCAGTTCTCGGAGCGGCTTGCAGCTGGATGACATGAACGCCACTCGACTGGCGACCAGAGCAGCTCGTGCGACTTCGTAGCCACGACGAAGAGCCCAGAGCGGCAGGATCAGCATAGCAGCGGGCAATGCGCCTGATATTGGATGGACGCGAAGGGCGTGGGCAGGTGCAGAATGGGTCGGTTGGAAATGAGGATGTTTGGCAGGATGGCCCAGTAGAGCAGCGGTGTCTTGCGGGGTGCCGGAGCTGGAGGGCAGTGGGAAGAAGAAGAGTGATATGGTGACGGCGAGGGCTAGGTGAACCCACCCTCCTATTCATCTCACGGGTTCAAACCCACCTGTCGTCAGTGCAGCTGCCCGCGGAGGAACTACCACCCCGTTTCGTCGCTTGCGCCGGGAGATGCTGACAAGGGGCAGCTCCAGCAGCACCGACCCACGGGTCACTGTGCCCACCATCCGACCGAAGCGATTAGCCAGCCGCCGCTCCGCCTCCTCGTTATCATCGGCACCGTGCTCTCCTCCTCCCTCGTCTCCTTCCTCCTCTTCCTCCTCCTCATCCCCATCTTCCACTTCGTCATCGCCATCGTCATCATCCTCATGCTGCCCACCATCTACTCCCTCATCGTCGGCGTCTTCGCCTGCAGAGGCCGCCATTCCAAGAGGGGTCTCCAGCGCAGTGCCATAACTCTTTTCCCACCCCCCTGGAGTAACGCTGTCAGCCATGGACGAGATAGAGATACCGGTCTCCTCAGAGCTAGGTCCTCTCTCGCCGGCGGCTGCCAGAGGCTTCCCGACGGCCTCTCCCGGAGGCGCCGCCACGGTTGCCTCCGCCAATGATAACAGCGACGCTGGCGGCGGCAGCGGCGATGACATGGATGCGGCTGTATCCGAGGACAGCATATTCACATGGGAGCCGGCGGCTGATATAGTTGCGGGGCCGGATAAGGACTCTGAAGGAAGGTCAGGACGAAGCTTCCGTACCTGTGCATGGAACAAGATAATTAATAGTAGCATGGCGTGTATGGCAGCAGTTAGACGATTGTAAGGCAGGAAGCAATGGAGCAATCAAGGAGGCATGCAACCCCTGCGTGGCGATAACGTCTCGCGCGCAGGCCTGTCTCTTAACTTCCATACCACGTCAGACATTTCCTACCCTGCATTAAATACGTGACGTAACATTCTCCCCTGGGAGCCCGGCACATATACATACATACATGCACATAAGAATGACCGGACATATTTCTAAGGTCGCGCTCTAAGGAGTGCTCGAAGCCTGCCAGTGCGTCCTCCTCCCGTATGTAAGCCGTACATAAGCCAACCCTCGGGCCTCCCACACACACCTGCATCTCGCCTGATAGCAGCACCGCCTGGAACTTTGGCGCGTTCCGGCCGCTGTACAGCACACTGTACGGCCGTACAGTCCGTACATAGCAGCTCTTGGTGGCCTCACGCAGCATGCTCTGGGGCATGGCCGCCATGTTACTCTTTGGATTACGCGCCATTATTTGGCACGAACAGCAAGGGAGCAAAAAAGGGAATCAAGGCAAAAATCACGACGCCTTTGAATGTACTGTGCTTACAGAATGCTTAGCGAAATCCCTCAAGCAGATGCGGCTCAGGTCATGCCTGGTGATGATAGTCAGCCCAAGCCAGGTCAAACCAAAGGAGCCACCTGCTTCGCTTCACATCCAAAGCCTCTGCATCCTGTCGTCCCAAACCTCACCTTTCTATATTCCATCTTCCAGGCCAAACCCACGACCCCAGCCTCCCTACGTACATGAGCCCCACCTTACCCTTTCCCGTACCCTCTCACGCTCGCGCCTCCTGCTCCCACACGCATGCATGTTCATCCTCCTACACACGCACACGCATTGCAGATGACTCCCCACTATACATACATGCGCACCCACCGGAAGGCTCGCCAACAGGACCGCCATCAGTTCCAACCGCAACGCCTCCGCGGGGCCCTCCGCCGGATCCTCTACCGCAAGGCCCCCCTCGCTACCACCTTCCCGTCTGCCGCTGCCTGCAGATTCCCTCAGCACGCTAGCCGCATCCTGCCCGTGCAGCTGCTGCTGCTGCTCCTGCTGGCCGTGCTGCGATCCGGTGTCGGAACCGGTGGCTGCCGACACCAGCTGCCGCAGGAACGAGCACAACAAATCTGCTCGTGCAGCAATCCATGGGGCGCTGCCGGCGGTGGCGCGGGTGCACACGCCAGCCCAGGCGCTGCTGCTGAGGGTGGCCAGCAGTGCCCCAGAAGGGCCGGCTGTGACTCGGCCGCGGGCACGGGGGTCATGGAACAGTACGGCTTCGCGGCCGCAAACATCGCCGGGATGGAGGATTCGGTGCTGCGGAGCAACCCGCGGGTCCGTTGCGTGCGGTACGGCATGGTCGCAGCTGCCGGACAACACGATGAAGCTGCAGCGGATTGCACAAGGCAGGGGAAAAATCAGCGGGTGTAGAAGGAGTGGACTATGGCTGTCTGATGCTATGGGTGCGGCGGGCAGATGGACCATCGGCGGTAGGTCGGTAGGCTTCGGGTGGAAGCAAGTTCACATGCCATACTGCATGATGTGGTGGCATGACCCGATCAGCTATGGTATCTGGCCTTGTGCAATACATCTCGTGAGGCTTCATGTCATGTCCAGGCTTCACTCAAGCCATTCCAACCAAGCCCCGGGCTTCCTGCTATTCATCCCGTTTCCCCTCCCCCGATGCGCACTCACATGCTAGACACCGCCTCTCCAGGCTCTGTCACCTTTTCCCCTGCTGCAAAGCTGGCACATCCTGATGCACGAGACGATGGTGCGTGGGCATGCAAGAGAGGTCAGACACCGAGGAGGGGCACAATTGGATGTGAAATAGGTAGGTAGGTCGAGGTCTGTTGGATAACGTGACAAGACGAAGACAAAGAGTCATCGTTTGGCTGCCCATTTCATGCGTCGACTAGTTATGCCCATTAGTCACGTTACAATTCGCTCCCACGTCAAAAGCACGGAACGGAAGCGCCCGGGTCTCATGCGGCTTACCGAGGACTCCGCTGATTTGCGTCAAGGATTCATCAGCCCAGTCTGCGAAGAAAGGCTGCGGGAGGCAGATCGGGCCAAGTCGGCTAGGTGCAGATGACGGGAATCCCAACAGGAGACGAACTGGTAAACGACATACCGCATGCAGCGTGATGCGACACGATAGCCTCGATGCCATACTTACGCAGTTTTCGAGCTGCACCTTGATTTCTTTCAGCTCTTGCGTTGTCCGAAGGGCGGGCCTGCTCGACGGAAGCAGAAGAGGCACCAGGAGACCGTCGCTCAGATGCTAACCCACTGTATGTTTGTACTCAAACAACACATCACGACAGCTGGCTCGACTGAAGGAGATAATAAAGTGGGCCGCACTCTGCATGAAGCCCATGCGCTCCCCAAGCCATTACTACATTGAAACCGCCTTCTAGCCGAAAGGGAGTCCTAGGAAGCATTCGGCGGAGGGGATGCACGTAGCCTCACCTAACCCGGAGAAGCTTGGCCAGGTCCATGGCGAAGGGCCCTCAGCGGCAAGGGCGGCAAGTACATACTAAACTTTGTTTTTTCGTCACGTATCACTTCTCTTACCCCACGAAACCGTATGGCCCCGTAACGTATCTACATGCTTGTCGGATGTCGGATGTCGAACATAAGTTCCGTTAGTGTCACGCAACTGGATTGTGCGTATCGTGCAATATAAAGAAGGCGCGTCGTAAGTCGAAGGAAACAGCACAACTTCATACAACAATAATCCTCGTCCAAACCGTCACTGCAACTAAATCTTAACAATTCCCCTTGTGAAATGGCCGTCTACAGTGTGTATCTCTCATGCGTACCTCTATACATAATTAGGATTAGTGGACAGCAATCAAAACGCACAACGATAAGCTGCTCAGCCTTCTCTGCAGAAGGTAGGCGTACCTTAACCTTTCTCTACAGCTTCAGCTTTTCAAGTCACTCCGAAGCACGTATGTCCTGATGCGAGAAAGTTTGTAATAATGGTTAATAAACATCTCCATGGGATTCGCTTCCCTTGAGTCAAACCCGGCTCACCTTCTGACGCATACATGGAAAACAAGCATCCCAACCGATTGACGCGGAGCGCGGAAATCGCATAAATGGAGGGCGTTCCGCAGATCATCCGCCCCATCCTCGTGACCCCCGTCAACTATGCTGTCACGTACACGTAAAGCCTTTCTCGCTTGTTGCTGACTATGTAGCAAACAATCATCGTTCACGTTAAGGTGGCCATGTGGCATCCAGCTGACAGTTTTATTTATGCCGATACCCGAAATTTGTCCTGTTGCGCGGCTCAAATTACTAATTCGCATTCGTTTGTAATTGTGAATGGTGAACGGCACTCGTATCCATATTAATGCCACCAATCTGGATATTAACTTCATCTTTAGAGGGGACCGACCATATGTACCTCAACAACAATTATCTGTTTCGTAAGCCGCAAACGTACTTGCATGACAAAGCTGCACCAGCAACCACGCACCGCTTAAGCAGTCAGGTGCAATCATCCCTTGCACTGAACTGAACATTTACTTAGTCCCATGTGCTGACACGCTCTCGGAGAGGAGAAAAGCCGCAAGCTAAGCTAATGAGCAGCACACTATCGACAGCAACGTCGCACAACACCTGCAGAAGGAAATGAACAGGTAATGAACCGTCATCCTCCTTCACGGCACTACAGAAGACGTGACCAATTTCTACACTACAAAAAGCCTGCGTAAAAAAAACAATACTAAGTAACCATCCACTTCCATGTTCCACTTAGCGACGCCTTTGCGCTTAACAGCGCCAGACATAACTTAACGTCGGTTTGGCGGGCGGTAAGCACCACCCGACGAGGGCGGAGGGGCCGAGCCCGCGGGAGGGGGTCCGCCATCTTGACGGTTGCGTAGCGCAGAAGGCACGAACCTCCCTGCCGCGGTTGCCGGCGGTCCATCCCTTGGTGGCGCGTCTCTTGGCTGTCCATCCCTTGGCGGCAAATCCCGTGGGGGCGCATCACGGTCACCAGTGCGCCAGCTGTCCCTTGGCGGGTTATCCCTCGGCGGGTAGTCCCTTGGCGGCGGAGCTTCAGGACCACGCCGGCGCCAGCTGCTGCCATCATCGTCTGCTGGTGGTGCCGCGGCCGGAGGTGCCGCACCGCCGCCTGATGCAGCAGGAGCTTCCATTTGACGCCGCAGGTGCGGTGGCACAAACTTGTTACCACCGCCAGCGGAGGCAGCGGTTGGCGCAGCGGTTGGTGCAGCCGCAGCTGGCGGCCCCAGGCCCATGCGCTCCTCTGTCTTGCGCTCAATCTCTTTCTCGCGAGCACGTTGCTTGGCAAGTGCCTCCTCCAGCTTGCGCTGACGCTCAGCCTCCTCTGCCTGCTCATTGAATGGGAGCAGAAAATGCTTTTAACGTGAACCACACAAATACCATTTGCCAAATGGGATGCCCTGAGAGAGCGTGCAAGACTACCCTAGATTACATACAGGACTAAGACACCGATCACCAAAATAGTCTAAATTGTTGAAGACAGCAAGGGAGGGGAGCAAGCCTCAGCTGGATAAGTATACTCATGCCCATAATGGGTCAGTAGTCTAACATGTATTTTTTTGCAAAAGCATCATTGGCTCCCACCCGCCCCGCCCCTCACAGCCATATCGAGCGGCCTTGCATGAATGTAGGGCACCCAAAACAGTAAGGCTACCAGGCTGCTGCAGAGGAATCTCAGCACGGTTATGTTGTACTCATGCCCCAATGGGGGTCAGTAGTCTAACATGTATTTTCTGTGCAGCATCATCGAATCCTCTGGGCGCCCGTCCATGCCACCACGAAACACCGCGGCATAACCACAGCCGCAGGATGCCCCTACATATGCTTGGTACGGACGCACCTGCTTGCGCGCCTCCTCCTCGCGGCGGCGCTGCTCCTCCAGCTCCCGAAGGCGATGATCAACCTCAGCCCGACAACGTGCTACGTAGGCCTTACGCCGGGCAATCTCACGCTCATATTTGCGCTGCTGGCGGATCTCCGCCATGCGGCGCTCCCGCTCGCGCCGCAGCGCCTGGAATTCTGCTTCACGGCGCTGCATTATAAGGGCCTTGAAGATCTCCTTATCCGGAACCATGTACGCCTGCAGACCAAGGTTAGGGAGCACTTGAGAGCAGACCTTGCAAAGATTATGAACCGGCAACACTTGCAAAGGCATGGAGCCTACACGACTCAGTAGCTAAAACGACAATTACACGGCCAATGACTGGGGTCTTGTAATCGGCGTTGCCTATATTGTGAAGGACTCGTCTTATTTACTTCACTTATGCCGCAACATTTGCAAACTCACTAGGCGCTTCTTCTCCTCAATGTCCACTTCCCAGGCTTGGCGATGAAGACGTGCAGCCTCAGCCTGTGCAGCCTCCCAGTACGCACGGTCCATCTCTTGACGCTCCTTCCATGCCGCCTGCAGGTGACGATCAAGGGAGCACGCGATTGGATGCTTAGCCACGACAGCGATTCAAGGTACTCGGCCGTAAAACACCATGGCAACAGATTGCGTTTCCATGAAACTTGCGAATCAGTTAGATGCTTGCCTGTGCGACAGTTCCGTTTGAGGACAGTCGCCCACGTCCATCCTAACACGCAAAGCGATGTGGCAAGCAACACGCAAAATCCTAGGGCACTATTGCAGCATGCGAACGCACCTCTAGATAGGGACCCTCTTCCTCACGGCGGGCCCGCTCCAGGTGGTCCAAATTCTTGGCGAGGCGGACCATGCGGCGCTCCAACTCTTGCTGCTCCTTGATACGCTCCGACATAAGGTCCTTGATGACGGCCGTCTTCTCCAGCTTTTCGCCCTCTTTGACCTGCAGTTAAATAGTGTAACCCGTCACCTTACGATCTTCGGCATCACGCCCTGCCATGCAAATCATATCGACATCGCACGCGTGGACAACGTGGCGTCAGAGCATTCAAGTCAGTTCGCGTTCTCTTGTGCTCACCTTTATGTTGCGGGCACCCAAGTGGGCGCGCAGCTCTTCCTGCTCACGCTCCTCCATCTCGCGCTGGAGCCTCTCCTGCAGCGCGGAACAGAACGTGCTCGTCATGCAATGCACGCAACACTGAACACTCCACAAGAGGAGGACGCGGAGGAATATCAGTTCACAACGTAAATTGGCCGCCATGGTCACGTAGGGATGGTTATAACATACAACAACTATTCCCTTAGTCCTTGCTTCATCAAGTATGTCTCTAGAACACCCACCGCCTCGCGACGCGCTGCTTCCTCGCGGCGGCGCTTGTCCTCCGCCTGCTCCTGGGCCCTTTGTGCCTGCATTTTACGCTGGGCTTCCATTTGCTCCGCCTCAAACAGTGCACGCTCCGCCTCCTCTTTCTTTCTCTCGATGGCCATCTGTAACAAGCACAAGTATGGCAAGCACCATCATGTTTACATGATTTGAAGTATTTCAAACTGACTGAGACAGTAGGCCTGCTGCAACTGACTTGGCAGCTTTGCACCGGCGGGTTAACACGAAGCACTAAACAAAACCTAACCTGCACCAAACATTCCAGAATCCAGGTGGACAACCACCCACCTTGCGGGCCACCGCCTTAAGGTGCTCTCCCTCCAACGTGTCCCGCGCTGCCCTGATGATGGCCTTCCGGCGCGCTGCCTCTACCGCTGGCAGAGGTTGCGGCGACGGCTGGATCATGGCCATGGCCTTAGCCAGACGCTTGGCCACGGCAGCCAGATGGCCGCGGATCTTGTCGCTTTCCACGTGTTGAGCACCGAAGTGCAGGGTGCCATTGCGGTGGTCCACGCGCATCTGGACGGCAGGACGATGGGGACAAGAGTGTTCTATTTCCCCGAACAGGTCAATCTGCTGACAGTAACGAAGCAAAAAACTTTAAAGCGTGCTTGAACTGTTCCGCATCCATTTATGCAGGCTGTCTCAAGAGTGGAGAGTACGCACCTGCAGGTACTCATACTTCACGGCGTCGACCACCACCGCTTCCACCTCGGCAAACGTGTAGAACGGCACCAGCGCAGCCAGCTCGCTGATACGCATGACACTGTACACCTCACTGAGCTGCTTGAGCAAGCGCAACACGGCAGCCTGCTTCAATGCAGGCACGTACTTGTCCAGTGCCACCACCTTCACTGGCGCGGCCCCAGACAACGGGGTGGCCGCCAGCTCGGGAAGCTTCTCCAGGAGAGGAGCCAGGCGCTGGCACAGCTCAAGCGGTTTGAAGTCCTAAAAAGCCCGAACACAGGGAGCGATGTGGGAGGAAATTGAAGGCAGGGGCAACATGCATTTGCGTGATTGGCAAGTCACGATACAGGCACCGCGCTAATGACCACAATGCGTGCAAGCTGCGAGTGGATATTGATGGACGTTTCCGCCAAAACGGTAGTACGGCCGTCTGTCCGGGACCTCCCCCTAGCCGAACCTGGCGAGTACGGCACAGGAAATGAACAGCGCACACGCATTCGTCCTACCTGCGACAATGCGTCGTGGATGGCGCGGACCTCCGCGGGTACCAGAGACAGCAGGTTGGACGAGCTGATGGTTGCTAGCAAGGCCTGGCGGGTCAGCAGGCTACGGGCGTCCTTCTTGGCATCCTGGTGGAAGGAAACGTCCGGCCATTAGGTATCACATTTTATCAAGGGCACACTTCATGCAGTCAGAGACTGCTCGAGCACAAGCGAACGAATCAGGCAAAACATGACCTGTATCGAGTGATGATAAAACTAAAACTCTACGAGGTGCATCCTCAGCGTTAGCCGGCTTCAACAATCGGTAACCACAAGCGCTGCGCGGACTTTTGAACAGGGCTGGCCGCTCAGGCCCCTCAACCTACTGACTTCCTTTGCACAGATGGGAAACATCACGAAGGGTCAGGGCCCCATTCACGCCCTGTCAAAAGAACTGGTTCCGGTCTTACCACAGCAAAGCCCAAAATAGTAGCCATGCGATTCGCGCGGTCCTTCTCCTGCTCTGCTGCAACAGCATCAGAAGCGACGGCACCCGTGCGCGTTCCCGCAGCCGGGCCCCGCTCGTAGGGCAGGATGGCAAGCGCCGCCAGCAGCACAGAAGTAGCCATTTGCTGATAGTCAGAAGGCAGCAGGCCACGCGCATGCTGCCGTGCAAAGCTGAAGAGCTTCAGCCATGCAAACGCGTGGTAGAGCGGGCTGTCCGACACTGCGAAGATTTGTGTCAGGCGTGTATAGTATGACGCCAGCTGCGGCTGCTTGGGTGTCTGCGGGTGGTAGTACGCAATAATTTGTGAAAGGGCAAACGTAAGACCCAATCCAAAGCTCAAGAAGTTCATGTGCACGGAACCGATGCTATCAGCACGTAGGTGACGCCATCTTTATCATCGTGAAGTGCATACACATATACCGCGAGGAGGTGAAGCTTTTAGACTGTCCATTACCCAACATCCTATCGCAGATCGCGCACCTTCTTTGTCAGCGCGATGAGCTGCTGAATATCCTCGACAGAGCGGAATGCCTCGCCCCAGAGCTCCAGCTCGCAGGCAACACGCAGTTGCTCGAAACGGCTTTCCAAGTGCATGGTCATGCTCTCTGGGCCAGCATCACGCTGGTCACGGAACTTACTGTGGGCATTCACCATGACAGGTGCAAGCACCAGCAGAAGCTAAGAATGGCGGAAAACGTGTCAGAAGTTTTACGAGCTGCTGCTCTCGTGAGCTTTTCGACGGAACCCATCAAGCCTAGCTTATTAACCCATTAAGGAAGGCGAAAAGTTGAAATTAGGAACCGGAGGGACAAATCATGCCATGAAAGTTTACCATGACGAGAGGAGGACCTGGTCGCATACCCCCGTTATGGTCTCCGATCCGGCCTACCCTGTACAGACGCAAACTGCGGAAAACCCGTATACCGAGTCCAAACACCAAAAAAGTTAACAATCCCATGCCTCCTTATAACCACGAGGCCCGAGCCACACTTACTTGACCAGGTTTGTCAGGTGCTGGCGCAAGATGTCACAAAGGCGCTTGAACTCCGTGGTGCGCTTGTATTGAAGGCAAAAGTGAAACGCCTTGGTTGCTGTCATCGCGTAAAGGGGCTCTAGCTTGGGGTTGGTACGCAGAATCTCCAGCACGCTGCGGTAAGACTCCCACAGGAAGCGGAACCACGGCGTGACCAACTCGCGGTCCGTGCGATCCTGTTCATGGATGGTGGAAATTGTCATGGAGGATGCACAACGCCAGGGTTAAGAAGCAGGCAGGGAAAAGTTTGAGAGGGTGTGTCATGTGGGTGGAAAGGTAGGTGAGAACGGTAGTCCATAGGGGGAAATTGTTGCTGCGCTTGAACTGAGGTAGGACTTTGGTTGCAATTGAGTGGATTATAGCACAGGTACTTCTATCACATGAGTCTTCGACGCACCTTGTTCTTCTCGCCGCTGACATAGCTCAGCATAAGCTCTTCAGGGCTAGCACCCTCCTCCAAGTCCTCCACATCCAGCGTCACAGCCTTCACAGGGAAAACAAAAGGAGTTCGTGTCGATTATCCTTGTCATCGGACAAAGTTCGGCAAACATCTTTTCGGCATTTGGCACGCACGGCCAGAGCTTATAATCCCGAAGCCAAGCCAACAAGAATAAGAATCTACAGAGACATCGGGCCCCAAGTCGCAGATTTCCATACCAAGCGCAAGTCCGAGTTTGGCGGCGTTACCGCGATCGCTCAAGAGCAACGACGCACAGGCACGACTAGGTCCGCATGTCCCAAGCCTAAAGTGCAGAGATCCCAGCCCTAGGAGGGTAGGTTTCCTTACCGCAGCTTTTGCCTGTGCTTCTTCCGCTTTGTCCGCTGCGCGCTTCAAGAAGTGCTTTATGACCTCCTCAAGGGAGCTGATGTTGACCTGGTGGCACATATTTCTATACTGCAGAAGAGCCTCCTTAGCGTAGATACGCTTCTGCATGTCCACACACAGTTCGACGTGGCGCTGCATAATGGACTCAAAAGTCTTGGACCAGGTCCGGTGCTTCTTGCTGCAAACCACATCGTGCAGAGTCTGCAAAGCAGCCGCTTTCTGGCCAATCGCCTCAAGTTCGTCCGCCCTCTTCAGGGCATTCTCCGGTCTGGCGAAGCCAGCACTACCGCGGAACGGCCGTGACATAATACTGTGAGTCCACCTACAGTCCACTCAGGGACGCTATCATGCTTGGCTGGTAGAGCTGATCAAGCGTGCAACTTTTTTACCTCCATGTCGCCGCCGCCGTACTTAACCGTACACGTAGCTTTTCCGCTTGCTAATCATTGCCATATACATTTTTCACCAGAGCAGACTTTCCCTGGCGAAAACTTCCTTGATCTGAACAGAGATTATGAAACCAACGTTTCGCGCCTTGACGCGCTGTCATGAACATGGAAAAGCATCAGAGATATGTGGACATGTTCCATGCCCGCTTCTTAATGTTCACTCCACAGCCTGCTGCGCGCCCTCCCGCTCACTGACGCACGGAAGAATCGGATTCGAACCAACACACCCTGGTGAACATGGCTGGACTCTAAATTCCCCGTTACACTTTACACAACTTTTCAAAAGACCAACGCCTGACCGTTCACTGGCTCCGGAGCAACCTGCTAGCGGCAGGTGTAACGAGGCGAATGGTTACGGGACGCGTGCTTGGACCTGCCTCCTTCAGCTCAATACATAGACGGGCGCACATCTGCTCCCCGCCTCATGCCCCACCTACCAACTGCATAATGCCTGGCTTCGAGCTATTCGTAGCTGCTACGGATCGTTCATGTAAGCAAGAGGGGCTTTAGCCCTTAGACGCGAAGGACAATTTCCTGCTATAGGATATGCGTCCCTGTGGCTCTTTTTCCTTCCCTCGAACGTCTTCGTGTGGCTGTGCTACGAAAGCGGCGAAACCGCCCGCCTAACCACCTCCACTAAGTGATGCACCAAACGACATGTTGTAGGGCATTAGTAAGCCGGGTTCTCGGGAAGCACCACCATCCACTAATATGAATGGATAAAACAGCTTCAGAGGTTTCGGGACATCGCGAGCCGAATGTCTCTCCCAAGGTGTGTCCCTTCCGCGCGGGCTGCCCATCCATCCAAACATCACCTGCCGTTTGCCCATCCGGATGGCGCACTGACCAGACCGGGGAGCAGCGACCACAACATGCCAAGCAGACATACCACGCGCATGGCCAAATCCACCACAAGGACTTATCCGGTTCCCAGCCCCATGGGGTTCCTCCAAGCATAAGTGCCCTTCGCGCTGTCTAGGCCTATTAATGCACAAGGAAGCGCTAGCCAGGAAGCCTTAAGCCACCACAGGGATCCTTCACCCCTCCAACGAACACTCAGTGCGCGCCTCTTCATCCCTTGGATCTTCCGAAGCCTCAAAACACCAGGCGCACCGCAAGCCGCTGTTCAGATCCAGGCTCGATCTCGTGACCCGTGCCCGAAACCAACATACCCTTAACTTCACTCGTCAATCCACTTCAACCCACCCCACCCCAGACCGGTGGCTCGGACCTTCAGTTGTTCTCCACTGGGGCCCGCCATGTCCCATCCTGACCTCCCAGACCCGGTCGGCACGCTGCCACTGCCCATAGCTGCCTGATTATACCCTTTGCCTGCCGACCCCCAACCCCTCTCCTGGACTAATTCTCCTCGCTCCGCCACCAACACGCGCCCAGCAGAGGCTATCCAGCCCAGCGCAGCCTTAATATGGGGCCAACGGAGAGAAATCCCATCTTGTCGCTTCCATCAAAAGGAAAATCCGTCTCTTCACCATTTCTGCTTGCATGTCTAATGCCAGCGGGCGAAGAGAGAGAAAGAGCGCTGGTTTCTTTAAGGAGGCAACGCAACAGGCAGGGTAAGCCCTCGCGGTACAGGAGGACAGTCGCCAGGCAGCTAGCCGAGCTGCCTCATGTAAGCCCGCAACGGCATCCAACGACCAACGACATCCAGAAAGCCAACTTCATTACTTTGAGCGATGTTCCCTGCGAAGCTGCGACACGCGCCGCATGTGCAACGTTTCCTTCCAATATATACCACACACACACACACGCGTGCGCGTAAATATTGTCATCCAATTTGCAGATGGTTTGCAACACGTGTACACGGACCGACATCTACAAACAATTGGCCTGCCTAAGGTTCGCGGATAAGCCGGACGCGAAAGCGCATTCTTCATCACACAACATTTCCTCCTGGTCACAGCACTTGATTGTCGCTCCGAAGTCGGAACGACTCCGTGGCCGCCCGAAGTTCGGAGCCGTACTGTTCCCACCCGGCTCCAGCCGCTGCCGAGCCGCCGCACACAAACACCTTCCCCTTCATGGCCGCAGCCGTCATCACCACGTGAATACCGTTGGTCGTTGTGAACTCGTACCTGTATCGTGCACCATCACGTGACTACAACACAGTACGATGAGCAGCGGGAACGATTGGGCTTCCCCCTCTCCGTCGAAATAAGCAAAGCACCCCGCACATTCTTAGCTAGTTCGACATCTCATCGCCCTGTACTCGCCTGTAGTAGCTCTTGGGTGGCAGCTCTACTGGCCCCAGCGCAGTCTGCCTGGGCGGCAGGACCACCTGCGTGATAGTGGGGGCAACCTTTAGTCACGAGGCAGCAGCAGCAGCAGCAGCAGCAACACGTATGCACACGCCGGGGGTAGGATGGCAACGGCGGCGGCGGCGGAAGAGTGGCGGAAAGCAAGAACAACCCCAAAATTCGAGAAACGTGACGTAAACATCGTACATATAGTACCTGCAAAGTACTCGCGGCCAATACACGGGAGCCGCGTGGAAGCAGCAGTTTGGCGGCCTCTTCCAAGCCGCCAAACACGCTGAGGTCGGTTACCTGCAAATTTGTGGCAATTTTAACGCCGGAAAACCTTTGAATTTCAGGAAATTCCCGAATTGCCGCGAACAAATTCCACTTCGGACCCGCAGCACCCGAGCATGGCAGTGGTGTGTGTGGGTGAGAGGGGTTGGGTGAGTGGGGGGGTGGGCCCCACCCGGCAAAAATCACGCATGCAAGGAAAGAGCATCCGCATCGTACTGCATAGTACGTACGGTACCTGGAGGATGGATGGCCTGAGGGATTGGGCGTTGCGCACCACCACGGACAGCACCGTGGAGCCATCAGGCGAATCAAATCGCGCACGGACAGGGGATGGTTCTGGAGCTGGGCCGCGGCCTGCGGGGCACGCAGAGAAGAGATCGGGCTTGGACCGCTTTGATCCCTTGGATCAGCTGGGTAAAAGGGGTGCACAAGGTGATACGTCCATTACCACGATAACGGTTGGGCGGCTGGTTTTGTGGGCGGCATTTTATGCAGCAGTCGCTGCCCAATCGACTGATCGCAGGTAGGGGTGCATGAGACGCATGCCTGGGGTTACTCACGGTTGGGGTCGTACACAGGTTGAGTGTCCACAAACTTGAATGAGGCGGGAGGTACAAGCTGAAACTCGAGGTCCAGAAAGGTCTCCGCCGGCTTCAGCACAACGGATGCTGGAATAGCTGGATCGGCTACCGGCGCCGGCACGTCAGGTCCATCGGCAAAGGCTGGCCTGGGGTCGCGGTCGTAGGGTTGTGACCAATGTAAATCTGGAGGAATTACAGGAGAAGCTATCAAAACTAAAGACAAGTGACATATTTTCTTCTTACTTTTGAACAATGAAGGGCAGCGCGATGCCCAATTGCAGAAGCTCCCTGCGCCCCCAAATTGGTTGAGCTTGAGCTGCAAATGGTAATTACGACATAGCGTGTAATTTGTGTCTCACAATTATTGGGAAGCAACTAAGCACCAGTCAACCTGCAGGTCGAATCGATGGGCCAAACGCTTGTGATCGCCCCGTGGGAGGGCGGCGCAGATTCCTTAGAGCCATACTATCGAGTAAAACCTGAAGATAGACAGGGCAATACTTGATGATTGGGCGCTTCATTGCTGCGCTCGCGTAGGGTTGATTCGCTGGTAGCAACCGCCAACGGTCGTGCGGGGTGCCTTAGCTACCTGGCGTCCTGAATGCTGATGGGGATGCAAATTTTATTTCTAAGCAGAAACTTTGGCATTCATACAAAGCTGATTTGCGAGTGCCACCTGCAACTATCTGTAAGGCTGCTTGCACATCATCGCCAGCAAGCTCCTAGCGCGACATCCTTTGCATGACACTTTGAGGTGAAATGCAGGCGACCGAATTCAAAAATGAATACTGGTAGGGCGTACTGATAGTTGTAACTACCCTGCCCGCTGCTTCTGTCAATCGTGGCTCGTGACTCGCGCAGCTCCTCCGCAGGCTGCTTCGCCATGGCCGAAGCCTAGCTAACGAGGCTGAAACCATCGTCAGTAAGCCGGTAAGCGGTTTAACATGCAGTCCCAGTAGGTCAAAGGGTTTGCCCAGCGGATGCCAACCCGGAAGGACTCCTACAAATGCCCAGGAGAATGGCATTGACGACCGCTGGACTTTGGCACCTGTGGGTGAAGACCAAGCGCGGGCAGCAGGGTGAGACCGGTTTCGATGGCTGAAGTCAGACTCCCTTTTCTTTCCTTTCCATCCCCTCCCCTCGAACGATAAATAAGATGAATCACTCCGTTAGGACGACTCCGCCAGGTCTAAGTTAGAGGAGTGTGTCAAATCAAGAACACGCTGTGTGGGCGCCGCTCGTAGGCTCAAGTTCCGCCAGGCGCTGCAAGCAGCGGAGCGGAGCAGCCGACAGGTGCTGGTGTACGCCTCGCCCTTCTCGCGGACTCAACGAACCGCTTTCCTGGCAGCGGAAGCGGCTGGGCTGCAGTCGGAGATCTGCCCCGTGCAGGTAAATGCCTGCATGATAGATGCGATGCGGCAGTTTGCCACCCAAGGAGGTGAAGCGCCATGGGGTGCACACTGTATGTATGTATCATTCGCATCTGCATCCCGCAAAAGAACAAGTCCTCCTCTTTCCACCCAGACGCCAGACCATGCATGGCCATGCGTGCGATGCCGCCTTCTCCTGGTATCTAGCGACTCACGGGTCATCTCGTCCATCAGTAGTCCTGCATTCCATCCTACCTTAGCCGACTTCAAACCACCATTTCCTTTTCTGTTAGGTGGCTCCGGAGCTGCGGGAGCGTTTCTTTGGGGATAAGCTTGAGCTACAGCCGTACAATACGGCGTACGGCAAGATTTGGGAGCGAGACGAGGTGTCATCGACAAACGTGCCCGGCGGCAACGGAGAGAGTGTGGACGAGGTTTCCTCCCGGATCCGGCAGTTGTTTCAGGTACCAAGGGGAAAAGGACAATGGAGGGGAAGGTGAAGGGACCCAAAATCCTAGGACAATTCAATGGAGGGGAAGCAGCAGTCTCGTTTCGAGCACAAGGTAGTGAGCTATGGGTTCGCAAAGGTAGCTGTGCCTTGAGTGTATGACATGGGATCCCATAAATGTATAGGATCACGCATGATGGCTTAATGGGCAAGACGACTGAGAGCTCTTCGAGTAGCAAGCAGTGCTTTAGAAGCACTAGCAGTAGTAAAGAAGGGGTGGCGGAAAGGGGCGGTGTAGTCCGGGAAACAGCTATTTGGCATGCGCAAGGACTAACGTGTGTTACGCAGGAGCACCGTTACTTGACCTGCTGATTCACGCACGGAAATTGTCTGAGTGATTGGCATTTACCTCCCCGCCCCCGCGCGCGCGCATACACTCACACACACACACACACACACACACACACACACACACACACACACACACACACACTCACACACACACCCTTTGAGACAACAATGCCTCCTGGCCGGGGTCCCGATGTCTTCCCGGAGCAGAGGTTGGAGGCGGAGCACCAGGGAGCCATTATAATGCTGGTCAGTCACGGCGACACGCTGTCCATTCTACAAGCGACAATGCTCGGGGAGGATCCGCGGCTGCACCGAAGGTTCGCGTTTGAGACTGCTGAATTGCGACCGCTCCTGCAGGCAGGCCCTGGCCGGTGAGGCCTGTATGCATGCATACGTACTGCATGGAATCTTTTAATGAGGATTTTTATCCCCTTATTTGGATTTTTGTCGAAGAGTATGCTTTGCGCATGGTTACCTGCCGTCGTACAGAACGAAGACCATGTTGATGACTCCGCACACCGTGTATCTTCTGTGTCTTACATTCTAGCATTTAAGGATTGCTGTGCGTTTGGTTGGACACTTAAGTCAGTGACCAGCTCATAAGGCAACGACACATTTCCGCAATATCTCTTGCGCTGTGGAGTAGGGCAACTTAATTTCTTGTTTGTTCAATGCGACCTTGCTTTATCCAGCTGAGCAATCCTTTTTCCGTTGGTGTCTGGTGTCATTTGGACAGCTAGAGGCAGTTCCAAGTTTGGACCTGAGATGTGAGGAAGACTTCCTTTCAATATAAGTTGCTGTTTTTATAGATTCGTGGTACGATAATAAAAATGAGGTCGATGTCGGACTGAGCTTGTAACGCTCTATGATGCGAGTCCATGGCAACTTGGGCGGCCAGCGTCCCGAAACAACGTTTTTCTTACAAATTTGTATTAGAGTCTCATGCGCCATTCTCTTTGCTTTTCGGCAGTCCACGGAGGAGTTGATCGACCAACGCCGTCCTCTCGGCTCCCCGATCACCGTGCAACCAGCAGGTACTTGAGCAGGCGCGCACAGTCGTGTGGCGCAAATGTATTTCATATGCACGTCAAGTGACCTTCCATGCAAAAGACTGCCGCAAAGGGCAGGCATGCCCGTGTGTTTGTGTATGTTTCTGTTACACATCGCTCCGGGCCTGACGCTGGCCAGTCGCACCTAACCGTACCCCAAGGGGAACGACCGCCGAAGCATTCTCTCCCTAGCGGGGCCCCATATTCCCCTCCTGCTCGTAAAGTCCGGGGGCGCGCGGCCCTGTGTCTCGACCTCATGTTATTTATGATCGAAGAGCGCACAGAGGCTAGGAAGGCCCTCTCACAACCAACCTCAGAACGTGTGTGTGTGTGCGTGTGTGTGTGTGCGTGCTGCGTGTGCTTTACTCGCGGCCATGTGTTTGCCGTGCCTGTCTTGGCGACCGGACAAGCTGGCGCTGAAGCGTCAGTTTAGCTCAGTGGAGCGCAAAGGCGCCATTCTGGTGATGCAGGCTACCTTTGCACTTCGCACAGAGGGGTCAGTCTTCCGGTGCCCACTTCGCACATATATGAGTAAAGCATACAAATCCCGCTGTAATGCAACTGCCTCTGCACAACGTTTTTTCTTTCCGTACAGCGGGTACTTTCAAGCACGCCATGTCACAGTTTTTTTGAAGTACGCAGCCTGACACGGCGTCTCGAAGTATTTCCTCTTCACGCGCTACACTGTATCCGGCCTCGCGGGGGCTGCCCTCTTGCTGTTCTTATCTTACCAACAACTAATTCCAAACTGCTCCGCTCCGACAGTTGAACTTAACATCATCGGTGCCCCATGCCGGGCAAGTTCAAGTTCTCTTTGGCAAAGCCGGAGAAATTCAACCAAGCCGCGTACTTGAGTGCCATCCATGAAACTCGCAAGCTGAAGCCGCCGCCTGACATATACGTGGCATACGGCCCCGAGGAAATGGGAGTGGCTATGGTAAGCAGCACGGCTCAGGGAGCGCAGCTGCGGGGCGTTACAGGGCGCTAGCTGTGGTGGCACTCGTTTGCGCCTCAAGCCTCCTCGGCTAAGGTTTCACCCTCCTCCTAACGGAGCCGTCACAGCCGATCAGAGGAGCAGAGGGGGGACAGCGCACTTGGTGCACTTGGTCCTCTTGCTGCCTGCTGCTGTCATGCGACCTGCGTGTGAATGCTAGTAGCGCTATTGGGATGCGATGATGTGCCCGAACGGGAGGGCCGCATGATGGTGACATAAAGGACTCCGTTTTCTCACATAGAACATACATGCACGCAGCTACGCGTACATGAAGCCAACATGTAGTACATGTATCAAGACGCCTGATGTGCCTTTTGAGGCCCTTGCGCATCTGTCGTTGCGCACCTGCCGTTGCGTACCCACACTCCCGAGCCCAGGTGATCAAGGTGCAACACCGCCAGGAATGGAACCTGGTGCTGCCAACGGACCCCAACAAGTATGACCTTGAGTGTGGCTTCACGTACGGCATCACGTCACGCCGGGGCATTTGGGACTTTGTGCGGCCAGTGCTGCTGGGAGTGTGCCGCAGCAGTGTCGGCGCGTTTGAGCTGGCGTGGGAAGACGGTGATTTGGAAGATGTGGTGGAGGTGGGGCGCTTCGACCACGAACTGGGAGACATTGTCGTACTGCACAAGGGCCTCCCATCCGTGGACCAGCTCAATCGCGCTGCCATGCCACGGCCTGGGAGCGGTAGCTGGCACTCTCAACAGCAGTAGTAGTACAGGCTTAGTAGGGCATCATGACATTACTATTGTTTAAGAAGGACCTGCGGGGGTGATGGGTGATGTATCATCGCGGCGGCAGCACTGGCGGCGGGCTGGGGTATTTTACCGCAGCAGCACTCAGTTGCATGGGTGTGGCCGCGTGGCCTGGGGCGCATGGAAGTTGTGGCAGCGGATATTATTGCCACGCAATTCAAACAGCGGTGTGCTCGCCTGCACGAGCATATAGGAACAAACACAAGTTCACTGGGTATTGGGCGGCACGACTAGAGCCGTAGGTCATGATTTACGGAGTATGGCACTGTGCCTTTGTTTTCGCCCCTCTCTTCTATGGGCTGTGGTGGATGAGATGAGGTTGCGGCAGCGCCATGAACTGCAGCAAGGCTGGCTCGGGGATGGGACGAATGCCACGTTTGGCTATGTAAACTTGGAAGCTTACATAGAGGCAGATGAACAGTTGGGATCCAGAACCATCACGGCCACCGAGTTACGAAAGGCACATAAGAAAAGCCAGCCTGGCAAGGCCCCGGGATGGGACGGCATCCCAGCCGATATCTACAGGAAATTCTGGTCGGCCATTGGCACCACCATGGCCGGCCTGCTCACCGCCATAGGCTCGACGGGGCAGGTGCCGAAGGGCTTCTTGGAGGGGGTGCTGACGGTGATCTACAAAAAAGGCGACCCCAAACTCCTCACACTGCTTTGCTCAGACTACCGGCTGCTCACCAAAGTGCTGGCAAACCGCCTAGGCCCTGCCCTTGGCCAAGTCATAACCCCCGAGCAATCAGCCTTCCCACCCAGGCGCCTCATTGGAGCCAGTGTGCTATTCCTGCGTCACCTGTCACAACTCCTTCGCAAGCAGAACCGCCGGGGGCTCCTGGCATTCCTGGACTTCGCCAAGGCCTATGACACGGTGGATCGTGGGTTCCTCCTGGCAGCAATGGAGACCATGGGTGCAGGGCCACAGCTCTGCGCCTGGGTATGGCTGCTGCTGAGCGAAACGCGAGCCCGAGCGATGGTGAATGGCTACAAATTGAAGCTGGTGAACATGGAGGCAGGGGTACGGCATGGGTGCCCCCTCGCGCCCTTGCTCTACCTCTTCGTCGCCCAGGCCCTACAATGCTGGCTCCGGAGCCAAGACGTGGGGATCAAATTACTGCCGGCCGACTTACAACCAGTCACCGCGTGTCAATATGTGGATGACACGTTCCTCCAGGCCATGGACACCTTTGCCCGGGCATCCGGCCAACGCCTAAATCTCAACAATGTGGAGCTGCTGTGGATTGGCCAATCAAACCAACAGCAGGCGCAACCTGCAACCCAGGCCGGACCCCAATCAGCTGCCCCTCAGCAGGAGTCAATAGGAGGTCTCAAGGTGGTGACCACCGCCACCGCCCTGAACCTGCCGATTGACAACCAGCCATCCCCACCACAGCCCGACAGGATGAAGAGACTCAGAGAAGCCAAGCGGCGACTGCAGCGGCTCTCCCGCTTCCCGCTATCAGCATTCGGTCGAGCCACAGCGGCATCAGTGTACGGCCTGCAGACAGTCACCTGGCACATGGAGCATGGTGGGCCGGCCCCCAACCGTACGCTGGACGAAATAGAACGCCTAACGGCCCGCCTAGTCGACCGGCAGCAGGGCCCAGAAGACCCCGGCCGACACTTGACAGGGGTGCCTAAGGATCTCTTGACCGGCCACCCGTCGGCTGGAGGCTTTGGCCTGCTGCCCCTCCAGCAACGCATCCAGGCTCGGCATGCGGTATGGGCTGTGCGCTTCATCATAACCACCCTCGGGCTATCTAACGCGTCATGTGGGCCAGGGACAGGTTGAGCTGCAGGAACCACGGGTGGTACGGGGGGGCACGGGAGGGCAGATGGTGGTCTCCACCCCTGGGTCCGGACGCTCTCCGCCTATATGCTGCTCACCCACCCCGCCTTCCAACCGTGGGCCCTGACGACCGCCAGCCAAGCCGGGCCCCGACTCGGCGGAAGCGATCTACCCACGGATATCAGCCGGATTGTGGGCGCCCTGGGACACCTGCCACAGCTCCGGGATATCGAGACCAACCCCCTGTCCCCCGGACCTTGGTGCTGGGCAACCGCGTTGTGGGGTAACCCGCTGCTCCCCAATACCGGCGAGGCAGACCCAGACAGTTTGAACCGCCGCCCGGGCCTGGAGGCGCACTTTGTGGGGATCGCTACATGCAGGAAACTGCAAACGGTGGGCGACCTAGTGCGTGTCTGGGACCTAGTTGTGCATACTCGAGTGGCCTCCCTCCCCAGGTCGACCTGGCCCGTATGGGTCAGGACACACCTCGACCCGTCAACCCCAGCACCCACGCGGGACAGGTCAGCGACCCTGGCAGCCCTTAAGACGCTACATGGCGCTATCAACCCGGCCTGGCTCGAAGCTGCAAGAGCAGTGGAAACCCAACAGCAACAGCAACCCCAGCCGCAGGCACAGCTGCAGCCACAGCTGCAGCCACAGCCACAGCCACAGCCGCAGTCACAGCCACAGCGGCAGTCACAGCCACAGCCGCAGTCACAGCCACAGCCACAGCCGCAGCCACAGCCGCAGCCACAGCCGCAGCCGCAGGTACAGCCACAACAGCAGCAACATCTGCAACCACAACCACAGCTACAGACACAGCATCAGCCGCAGCCGCAGCCACAACAGCAGCAACAGCCGCCGCAGCAGCTACAGACACAGCCGCATGAGCAGCAACCACAACAGCAGCAGCCAGAGATGCCAACGCCGGGGGACACGACGGCTCCAAGCACCCCCAACAGCTATGATCCTAAAGCGGGTCGGATGGCAGATACCGGGCGGCACAACAACCGTCCCACTCACACGCCTGACGGTCCGCCTTAGCGACACAGCTGCAATGCGGGGCCACGGAGGAAAAACGGTGACCCTTGATGGCAGCATTTGTGCAAGAAGCGTTGGACCCACAGGGCACGGCACCTTCCTCCTCAGCGGAAACAAGCCGCTTCAGGGCGACGCAAGCCCGCTTGTGGTCGGGGGTGCGGTGGGAGAACGAGAAGAAAGAAACGCTGTGGCGGCTTGCCGTGGACGGCATCCCCCTGCCCGGCAACACGCACCTGGCCCGCATGGTGCCCGAGCGATGTGGGTGTGGAAGGTTCGGCAACGCCAGCAACCAGCATTGCTCCCCACGCATGCACCACTTCTGGGAGTGCCCCGTCGCACAAGCTGTCCGGGAGCAAATTGACCGACACATACAGCCCTCCCAGGAGGCAGCGACAGGCGGCATCACACGGAAGCAGCTGTGGTTGGTCCAAGCCCCGACCGGCTGCGAGCAGGCCCCCTGGGATGTGATCGCCCTGGCGGCCCTGTCTGCTATGGAGGTAGGCAGGTGCTGCCTGCGAGCAGCCGGAAGGCGACTGGAAAGGGCGGCTAATCCCGCGACAGAACAGCCAGAGCAAGCGCAACAGATCCAGGCGCAAGGTCCCCAACAGCGGCGGATAACGGACTTCTTTCACCTGGCCAACGGAGTGAGACCGCACGAGGGGCCGTCGCTGAACGCGCCGGTACTCGAGGATCAAACGCAGGGGCCCATCGCGGGACCGGGGACGGCAACAGCAACAGCAGCAGCAACAGCAACAGCAGCAGCAACCCCCCTGGAATACGCCCGCGCTCGGGCAGTAGTGGGCTTATGGGCGCGCTTGCGCTCTTTCACCGCGCTCAACGTCCCAAAGCGGGGCTGGGACGGAGTGGGACCCCACCACCCGATTCTGTCAATCGTCGGGGGAGCACTGCGCTGCGCGGAGGCGGTGGACATCACGACCTAATGGTCAAGCGGACGTGGCGGGAGCTGGAGTTTAGGGGATAAGGGGATAGGGTGTCGAGGCGCGGAGGGGGGATGAGGTGGTAGGGAGGTCGAGAGGGAGGTTGAGGGGAAAGGTTGCGGGGAAAGGTTGCGAGGGGTGCGGGATCAGGGATGGGGGTTGGGGGGGTGCCGCGCTAGGGGAGATGGGGGAGGGAAGGTTTATTTGCCTGGGGGAGCCGTGCCGGCGGAGGAGGGGGGAGACCGGGGAATGGGCGGGGAGAGCCGGGAGGGGAGGGGAAGAGGCAGAGAGAGCACCAAGAGGATGTAGGGTTGATGGGTGGTGAGTGGAAACAGGTGGCCGTAGCGAGGGCGCGGATGAGGGGGAGGTGGGCACCCAGGAGGGGCCGTACTCGGAGGTGCGCGCGTGGTGCAGGACTAGGTTCTTCAGGGTATTTTCGTGTGTTGCGGCGTCTAGGTGAGATAGGATCTTGGGAACCAGCCGTCTTGGTAGAGCGGTAATGGAGGTGCGCCGAGCTGGCTACCCTCCCCCCCTGTGGTTTTCGGAGGCTTGATCGCCCGGCGTCGCCGCAGGGTTTTCCCGTTTTGAGTACTTTTCAAGTTAGACCCAGTGCTGTGGAAGGGCCTGGGCTTGTGCGGTGTTATCCCCCCGGCGGGTGCTATCTCCCCTGGACTAGCGCAGGGAGGGAGAGGCGGAGGAGGGTAGTAGTCTCAGGAGGCTTTTTGGCGTCTTGTGGTGTGAGCTCTTTGCGCTCTTTTTGCGTGAGGATTTTTGAGCTTGGTGACCTCCCCAGCCCGGGAAGACTCGTCGGGCTCCCGGTCGCCCAGGTCCTGGTTGCAAGCTCTCTGAGATGCTCGGTTCGTTCGTTCGGCAGGAAGAGCCCCCCGGTTGCGACTTCGTTTATGTTAGGAGACCAGCGGGCATAGATCCCGTCTAGCTGGAGCGCCAAACCCCAGAGGGGAGCGCTGATGTGTGCCGGCCGTCGTTTCCCGTGCGGCCTGACCCGGGGGCGGAGTGCATGAGACTAACTGGCCGTGTGCATCCGCTCCCCGCGCTATGTTTCGGCCCTGGGCCCCCGGCTTTTCAGCCCACAGTGTAATCAACGTCATACATACATACATACAGCTCATCTGTTACATTACAACAGTACGAAAGTTTGCGACCTCCTGAACTCCTCACATTACTTGACCCTCCGAAACCATGAACCAAGACGGAAAGGGGGTATCCCCTGAACAAACTCCTCACCTCCCACTTCCTCATCTGATCACGCACCCTCCATTCCCCAAGCTATGGCAGCAAATTGAGAATAGCAGTGGTGGCTGCACCACTACTGGACATGCCATCGATGGTGATAACCCCTAGTGGGTACGGCACTGCTGGCACCAAGCAGGCCAAGGGACTCTAGTTTCCTGACCGCGATGGGCATCAAGCATCCCGCTTCACTGTGGCAAACAACAAACTGGCTTAGGGTGCCCCTCTAGCAGGGGAGAGCAGGGAATTGCCTCGGGAAGGAGGCCACTTGTGAAGCTTAACCACCCTGTAACAACATCAACAATCCAACAAACATGGCATTGGCCACGCTGTGTCACTGCAACCAGGACACGCCACGCCACGCCACACCACGCCAAC